TATTTGTTAGCGTTCATTTACGAATGAAACAAACCACAAATGCAGTGAGTGGGTTGCTGATTCTGAATGCTATTTTTTGACGAGCAGTCTTTTTTGTGAGACTTTATCAAAATCTTTCGCGTAGTCGAATGTAAGTATTGGTATTAAGAGCTCTTTGTCTTCTTTGTGCGTGATTTTATTGAGGTAATCTAGTATCTATGTATCACTTGAGGTGGACCTCAAGAATCTGTGCTCTATAGGAATTATTATGACGTTTGTTGTTATCGCTACTTTGTTTTTACTTTTCTCGCTTTACATTACGGGGTTGTTGTGAAGATTGTTAAGTTTGTTTGAAATCATGAATCAATCAGTATTACACCACCATTAGAAACCTGGAAGAAGCACTGAAAGACGGCCGTTTTGTGGTCCTGGTATGAGACTACTTAGCGAAGCACATCCACGACTCCTGCACGCCGCAGGATCCGAACCCAGGACCGTCAATATTGTAGGAGAACGCCTAACCATCGGACCACTGAGCTGGTATCTAACGGTGTTAATGTCTAACTTGGTCAATTCATGGAGTTGCGCAACCTCATACACAATCTTCGGTAGTTACGGTCTACATCCGAACAGGTTGAACTGCACTGACCACGTCTTCCCACTAGAACTCAGAGAAGATTGTTCACGAAGCTAGTCACTCACTAGTGAGCACAGGTAACTTGCACAACGGGGTTGTTGGGAAGATTGTTAAGTTTTATTTGAAACCATGAATCGATCAATGTTAGACAACCATTAGAAACCTGGAAGCACTGAAAGACGGCCGTTTTGTCCTGGTATGGTACTGCTCAGAAGTCAGTGCGCATGCGCGACTTCTGCACCCCGTAGTGTTCGAAACCAGGACCTTCGGTATTGTACTCCGAACGCCTAACCTTCGCTTTTAAATATCAACGGTGAAGCAGTTCGTGACAAAGGGTTTCCGTGCTTTGAGGCACACACTTTAAGAGATTTTTCAAATTCAAGTTTAGCTAACCTGTAGAGAAATTTCAAAATTAGGCTAAAACTGTTGATCGATCAGGATGAATGAATAGTGTTATAAATCAATTATTTTGGATCTCAAAAAACAAGTGACATTTAGTCATAGTTTATCAAAAATACTACACACTCATGTCATCTTTTACAATGTGTTTTGTTGTACCAACTCTGGAACAAACCAATCTGTAAGTGAATTGAATGAAATCCACAGATGCAAAATGTAATAAAAATACTTCAAGACATGCAGCAGTACTGAATTCAGAAAGAACTACGTGAATACAGACGAACATGGTGAATTTTTTTTAATCGAATCAGGTGTGGTGGCCAATTTCTTCAACGTGTTCTTAAGCTTCATAATTCGCTTGTCACCAAATAATGAGTGCCTGACAGTTATAAATCAATCAGAAGGCAAACGCCAATGGTTGAATACGTTCATTTTTGACACACCACAAAATGGACCAGCTGACCATAAAAACACACAGAGCAGGGCAAGCAAACTAGCAAGCGAATTGGTGAATGAATAATTAAGATTAAAGTGTTCATATACATATATACATACATAGTAAAATGTCTGAGATACTTAAGAGATTAACATGAAGGCGAATAGGATGAGTGAGTATACGCGTAGGCGGTTGGCAATGCTCTCAGTCGTATCAGCTCATCAACACAAACCAGACAATAAAATAAAAAGTTTTTTTACTATGCCACTCACTGGCTTGGTTATGAAATAAGTTAATCGAAAAGGCTTAATCAAATTAAGCATGAACGAACTCCAAAATGTATGTGTGGACGCACTCTCTACATAGGCAGGCATCCAATCATGTACAAACGAATCATTGTTTGTTACAACTGTCACAATAATATATATATTTATGCATATCGTCAAAACCTGTCATCATGTATAATATCCAAACTAAACCTTATCAGATGTAAAATAGTACAACACACAGCTTTTTACATCTCATATGAAACGTGATAGTAAAGTAATTAAAAGATAAAACGCAACTTAAGGCCCAGTTTAAGTACTACTTAACAATTTTTTTTAAATTTAGAAATTTAATTTTCATAAAGTAGATTATTTCACAATTAAAATTGGAAGGATTAAATTAAATTACCGCGGATATTTTTTTTGAATTTTCAAAATGCCTACTTTTTTTTAGTCTGTAATCTGTTTGTATGTGCTACTTGGTAAACACAAAAGAACAATAAAAAAAAATTTATGTTCAGTTGACAAACATATTTTCATCTGAAAAATGATAATTTTCAGAATTATATTACTTAATTTACTTACTTAATTACACCTAGTACCCCCAGTCGGAGCATAGGCCCCCCACCAGTTTCCTCCAACCAGTTCTGTCTGTCCTGGGCTTCCCTCTCCAGTTATGTCCAATGTTTGTTCATTCCTCTCATAGCTTTCTCTATTACTCGACGTAATGTGTTCCTTGAC